CCCCCCCCCCCCCCCATTTTTTGCCTTTGAAGAGCAAGGTGTTTATCTTATTGTGGGGCACATTGTATGTAAGAAAATATGGTAGATGATATTAAATAAAACTAGTTATAGATGTTTTCAAAACCAGCCCAGAACTGATAACATTGAGAGAGGGTCTTAAGGTCAAGATTAATGTACCTGTCAGATACCTTTCTGCTTTATCACTAGGCCTTGCCAATTTTTTCAGCTTCTGACTTTTAAGAGCATATTATTTACCCAGAAAATTAATGAAAACATCCTCTTCCATTCATTTGAAATTCATCAGTTTTGAAAGGTCAGGAAGAATAAACCACTGTGGTATTCTGGCACTTTGTCTCTAGAAATAACCATCCTAAGTGAGACAGTAAGGTTCCTGCTGCTTTTTGTCTGATTGGTTTGTTTGTTAGAAGTACAAGATAATCAAGTGTACTTTGTCTACATTAACCATGAAAATCGGTTTACTTTTTTAGTAAACAGGCCTTCTCATGCTGGTATAAAAGATGCTAGTATGGCTTCCTTGGCAAGTGTAAATACATTCTGCTATAAAGGCATATTTAAATTAATCACACCAAGTACCAGAGCTTAAGCAGGCATCTAGGCAACCTTTCCCAGGTGCAGGCTGGAATGACTGTCCCTGGGTCAGAGGTGTGTGGACAGGTGGGTACTAGGATCCGACCACTGCTGCTGCTTGTCCCTGTGGCAGCATGAGGAGAGTGTCCACAGCCAGCGTGCCCACCTACCAAAAGCCACTAAAGCCCCATGTCCTTAGGTTGACAACCCTTGATCTAAGTCGGGTCGGCAACGTTTTTGGACAGAGTGCCAAAAGTACCCATGACCTCAAATTATAAGATATTGGCATGCAAGGGACAGATGGCAAGGGAGCCGCAAGGGGCTCGATCCTTGTTGTGGAAGTGTAGCCCTGGTCCCTTCCCTGCTGTGTGTCCTGAGGTGTGCATGCCAAGCAAAATGGCTTTGAGTGCTATGCTCTGACGCCTGTGCCAGGGGTTGCTTACCCTTGATCTAAGTTATAAAATCATTCTGTGGACCATTTTTTATAATTCAGGCTTACCTGGACAATATCTGAAAAAGTCACTACTGTTTTAGCATGAACTGTCTGTATGTACTATATGTAAAGTATGGCCCATGGACCAGATCAGGCTTGCCAACTGATTGGATCTGGCCCACAGCTGCCCCTGCAGTGCTTCAAATGGGCCTAAGCCCTGCCTGGGATAGCCAGCACTGTGTTCCTGCCTGCTCCTGCTGGCCCCAGTCCTAGCCAGTGTGCACAACTTACCAGCAGGGCTGCTCCCAGTGCAGCAGCAGCTGCCTGGGTGCTTCTGGGCTCCCATTTGCCTCTGGTGGTGGCTCCTTCTCCTTCCCATGCTGTGTTGCTCCAGGCAGAAAGGAAGCTTTATCCAGGCAGCTCCTATACCTGTACATGGAGCTCCAGCTCCTGCTCCTGGCTGCCTTGCACCCACTGAAAAGCAGCTAGGAGCTGGATCCAGAGCCCCATGTAGTGGGACAGGAGCCTCTCGGCTGGAGCTTCCCCCCCACCCATAGTGGTGCAGCAGGAGGAATTTAGAGTCCCTGGGTGCCTGTATATTCCAGGTTAAGTCTATTGGAGTGTGTTAATTAACATGCTCCAGCAGCCTCTGCATCACATGTATTCAGCGTCCCCACACTTCAAAATGGTGGCAGGGGTGCTTTAACTAAGCTTGTTTAACAAGTTTTTAAATAAAGTGCCCCTGCCTCCATTTTGAAGCATGGGAATACATGAGTCGCTGCAGGCGCTTTTATTAGAGCGACTTCTGAGAGCCACTGTAATTAAATGCCTCTTCCAGTCTAGAGCACATGTAAAGATGCCTCCTGTGCTTTAAGCAGTAAACTGAATAGTACATCTTGTGCCAAGATTTATAGGATTTGATTTTTTGGTGTATTCTATGTCCATCTGTCACTCATTGGTTATTTTTGTCTGAAGAAAAACATCTTAACTTTTGTAGCAGATCATTCTCAAGTTACTAGTCTATGTTTCTAAAATCATTTAGAATTTTTCAGTATTGTAACTACTTCTGCTAATCACAGTACCTTTTCTTGTTCTGTACTGTATTTTAAATAGGCCTTTGAAGAACTGAACCCTTCAGCTTTGTATATTAAGCCTAGTCTGGAGCAGAATGCTGGATCAGCAGGGCAAGACTTTCACTCACAGCAACAGAAATGTATTAGTACAGTCCATGGGACAGCAAATCCAGAGATAGGTGAGAGTGAATCACATGACCAGGTGAGAGGTTTTTTGTTGTTCTATATCCACGGTGGGGTTAAAAAAAACAGCTTTGGGTTGTGAGAGTCCACTGGATGTGTATACTTTTTTTTTTTTTTGTTTTTTAGCTCTTTGCAGTACAATATCAGACAAAAAATGTGCAGATGGGGGACAGATATGTATTCTAGAGCAGTGGTTTTCAACCTTTTTTCATTTGTGGATCCCTAAAAAAATTTCAAATGGAACTGCAGACCTCTTTGGAAATCTTGAATGGAGGTGCAGACCCCTTTGAATTGTAAGTGTGGGTATTTACATGCTTTTGATTGATCGTAGTCATCTCTTGCGAACCCCTTAGGCATAGTCTGCAGACCCCCAGGGGTCCACAGATCACAGGTTGAAAACCACTAGAAAATAAGCATCTGGACTTCTCATCTTCTTCTCTGCTCATCTAATCCTGTCAGCTAGTCTGATCCTGTCAGTTACTCCATACTCCTTAATTTCTTAAGTATAAAGAGGCTTCTTTGCCTGATGATTTGTTTATGTTCTCATTGATGGACTCAAATTTTACTTCAATCTTGAGGTTGTCTTAAAAGTTATCTTAAAATCAACTTTAACTTCAAAATCTTCCCTTCCCTTCCCTATCTCCAATCTTCCCTTCCGTATCGCTTTTATTTGGCTTAATCTTCCTCTGCTTTTTTTGAGGGGTTGGGATGGGCACAGCATTTCATTGCATTTTTGGCTATGTGGCATCAACTATTAAAGAGATGCCATAACCACCTACTGCCAACTCCCGAATTTGCTATTAAGAATTTGACTTGATCATTCAAAATTTAATTAAAAATTACTGAAAGTAAAGAATTTCTGGGTGTGGTAAGACATTGTTTTTATGCAACTGCTTCACTCAGAAATATTTTGTTATAATAGTACCTAGTTCTGACAGTGCTTTTCACCAGTTGATCTCATGGTACTGTACCACAGAAAGAATTACTGTCTGTATCTTGCTTATGGGGAAATGTGTAAAAGTGGGGCATTGCAATATCACCCAGTAGTGGCAGAACTGGGAATAGAACTTGTTTCCTGAGTCTAATGCTCCATCCATGAATGAAGAAATGTTAATAAAGATACATTATTTACTCCTTTATTATACTGAATTACCAGTGCTTCTATGGCACAGTATCATGGGGCCTGACCAGTTCTCAGGTAATGTCTCATCCTGTCATGTTGCTTTCCTATGATTTTCTTACTTTCCTATGTTCTATGATCTGATTAGTACGAGAGAGACTTTTCTGTTATGGTTTCAGAGATTATTAAAACGAGGGCAAATCTAAGCTTCACATTTAGTAATTTTTAGCTTTGCCCAGTTTTCTCTCTCTAACAGACTGGGTTTTTGTACCAGAGAAACTTGAGATGAAACTGTCAACCTTGGGTATTAATATCCTCCCAGCACTGAAAGTGTGTCATATGGGCTATAAGCTTCATATAATCATTTCGGTTTACAAATGTGAGAGATGTTTAGGGCTGACTTTGGGAGTAAGGCAGTGGCTCAAAGACTGGGGTTCGTTTCTTGGTTTTGCAACAAATTAGCTGTGACGGTGGGCAAATCGCTTAAGCTGTATGGACTACATTCCCTATTGATAAAATGAGAGAACAATCCTTTCTTTGGCTTTTTGGAATATTTATTCAGAGTGGGTGGGGCCTTGTCTCTTACTGCATTTGTATGAACTGCTGACGCACTCTGACCTCATCTTAATTACAACCTTTATGTGCTACTGTAATAGCAGATAATGGTGCTGCACCCTTGAGGATAATAGTTTTGTCAGCATTTGAAACTTTACAGATAATTTCTTTTTCTCATCTAAATTCCTGCATGTATTATGCAGAATTGTTCTTTATAACTTTTGCTTATGTTACTTGAAATACTGTATGTTATGGGTAGGGGCCTACTGAAACTGTGATTTCATGATTTTTGTGGAAACTGATTTCAGGCAGTCTCTGTAGGGGGGAAAAAAAAACTTGGGCTGTGTGAAAAAGCCTGGGCCCTGCAAAAAAAGCATGAAATCACTTGAGCGAGGGGGGGAAAAAAAACCAAAATGAAAACTGCAAGAACAGAAATGGGTAGGATGCCCTTGTGTCCTGAAACATGGGGCAGGAGGGAGGAAGGGAGCAAACCAGAGGCTGAGTCCCTGACATTCAGGAGCCAGCTAGGGAAGCTGGGAGGGGTTTAAAATGCTCACAAGCATGCTGATGCAGCATGCTGCAAACCAAGGAGGATTCTTCAGCGTGGCCACTGAGTTGAAATCCTCTAAGATGGCCAAATATGTTTCGGCGCTGGACCTTGCAAGACAGTATCCTGCTGGGAGCTTGCACGTAGATGGAGGCAAACTTTTCTGTAATGTAACTCTGGATATGTCCAGGAGACCTGCATAGATTGGCACTAGGGGCTATAGGCAGAGGGGGGAAAGTATTTGGAGGAGCTGAGCACATGCACCCCCCCTGCAGGTAAGCCTGTAGTGTAGATTGAGGCCCTGCGGTGATAGTGGGAGTGGGGCAGGGGCTGGGGTGAATGGGGCCCCAGGGCTGGGACAGGTGGTGGGACTGGGACCCTGGGTGGCTTGTCCAAGAGCACTGAGGAGGGCTTCTGCTGAGCACACCCTGGTGAAGGCCCCGGGGGGCATGTGACCCCCAGATCTGTGTGTGGGGCGGAGGCAGGCTGCCGCTGGGGCTGGGTTCAGCACCCCCCACGTGGCAGACATGTAACGTCATACTGCTCTTGGGGCAGCAGCAGCGTGACGCCATGTGTTTGCCTCATGCAGGGCGCAGAGCCCAGCCCACAGTGGCAGGCCGCCTCTATCCCACACACACATCCAGGGGGCACATGTCCCCCGGGCCTCTGCCAGGTGTGCGCAGCAATGAGAACTCCCTTATACCCCTGGACAAACTTCCTGGGCTCCCAGCGTCCCACCACCCATGCTGGCCCTGGGGCTCCAATCACCCCAGTCCCTGCCTCTGCCCCACTGCCTCCCTCACCACAGGGGTCTCAATCTGCACCCCCACACCCTGTCCCCATGACAAACTTAAGTTCTGTGCTGGGCAGTAGTGGTGTGCGAAACAGGCCATATTCATGGATTTGGCCCAAATTGGGGACATTGATTCAGTCTGTTGATTTGTATCACTGTCTCCGATTCAATTCGGCTGAATCTGAAGATTCAATGCGGAATTGGAGAATCAACGATTCGGTCATAGACACAGCTTTAAATGTTTTTTTCTACATACCTTGAGGTACCAGGCGCAGCTCATGAATGCTGTGATGCTGGGGCAAATGAAGTGTCCCACAGGAGTGCGGGGTGGGGGGATCTACCACGTGCTTGGCAGCAAACCCAGAAGTGGACCGGAAGTAGTTCCGGTCCACTTCCGGGTCTGCTGCCAATTGCGCTGTGGGGGCCCCCTGCAGCCCCTTGGCTCAGCGATCAGTCACAGGGTGGCCTTGGGTGCCCGCCAAAACCCAGGAGGCACCAGTTGCTGAGCTGGGGCATGCGAGGGGGGGCCCCCCCCAGTGTGCTTCCCTGTGGACCTGGAAGTGGACCAGAAGAGCTTCTGGTCCACTTCCGGGTCTGCTGCTAAGCACGCTGGGGAGCCCCCCATGCTCCTGTGGGACTCTCCATCTGCCCTAGCATCTCAGCATTCACGAGCCTCCTGTTACCTTGAGGTATGCAGAAAAAACATTTAAAGCTGTGTCTGTCGGAATCATCAGATCTCTCCGAATTGATTTGGAGGATTCTGATTTGATTTGGAGAGGTTAAAGGGTCTCCTGATTCAATTCGGATTTAGAGATTCAGCCACCAAATTGGGCCGAATCTCTGCTGAATCGAATCGGGGACTGAAGCTTCGCAGAGTCCTACTGGGCAGTGCTCTCCACGCTGCCAGGCTGCTGCAGGCTCTGACTGTGTGTCTGTGCCTGCCCCTCCCCACAGCTGCAGCTGCCCAGAGCCCATGCCTGGGCTGCCCTGTAGCACTAGCCACTGCCACCACTGCCCTGTGTTTGGAGGGGCTAAGCCCTGTTAGCCCTGGCCTTCTACTGCCTAGGCTAGGGGCACTGTTACACGTGCTCCAGGGGTGCGGGGTGGCACTTTTAATTAGAATAGCTTCAAGAGCCACTCTAAAGTGCTGCAGTGTCTTGTGTATCAGTGTCCTTGCACTTAAAAATGGCGGCAGCAGCACTTAAACTAAGGCTTGTTCAGTGAGCTTTCGCTCAAGTGCCTCTGCTGCCATTTTTAAGTGTGGGGACTCTGATACACGAGACGAGCGAGACTGCTGGATCGCACTAATTATCATGGTCCAGCAGACTCGATTTAATCAAGTCTGTTCTGACGCACTATAATTGCAACACATTGGAGCAGTCTCTGCATTCGTATGCAGGCACCCTTGGAGTCCAAGGCACACATGAAGAGGAGGCTGTTGCAGAGGCTGAAGGTTAGAGCAAGAAGCAAGGTACCCTGTCCTCCCTCTTTAAAAGGACCACAGGGAGCAGTCTTGCCTTCTGGCTCTGGCGTTGCTGTTCTCCCCTCCATTTCCTTGCCGCTGGCTTTTAAATCAGCCAGGCAGCGATTTTTTTTTTGATAATGTCATCTGCTGGTGCCACTTCCAGCCAGCAGTAAAAGTGGCTAATGAACCGCGTGGGCGGTTTGTCTCAGCACGGCTCTGTTTTTCCTGACAATAGTAAGTATGCTCCGTTTTCAGGGCTTTTCATTTCCTTTTTCGAGTGGGTCAACCCTGCCTCGGGTCCCGCTGTGGAAGCGTTCTCCAGAGCCTCTGCTTGTGTCCCCCTGGGACACTGTCCTTGTGAAAACCAGCTCAGAGGGGACCTGTTCCAGGCAATAGCTGTAAAGCTGAACCAATACTACAGGTATGACCTCTCACTGCCACCATGGCTCAGACAACCAGCTCTCCTCTTCCTCAGTGCTGTTTGCATTTTGGACCCCAACCAGGTGCCTTTGCTGCATTTTGACCCTCAGCTACTGCAGGCAGTCCTGGAATGGGGGAAAGAGCCTGACAATTAATGTGCTGCTTATGTGAACTTTGTCAAAGAGTGCCAAGTGTCTGTGTTCTGGGACTCTTTGACCTGTTTCCACATCTTTACACCCTGGCAATGCGCTGCCTCACCATTCCAGTGAACTCGATGGACTCTGACCATGCCATCTCAGTGTATGGACAAAGTGTTCACCCTACAGAGATGGAGATCAGGGGATTAAGCCTGCAGAAGCCATTAATTGATGCATTATTAAGCAAGTGACAGTTTGGGGCCATCTGGCAATCTGGAGGGAGGGGCAGGACTACCAGGGCCCCTCAGCCAATTAGAGGCATGGGGGGGTGCTGTGTTCAGCCCACAAAAATGGCAGTCCACTGTCCAGTCTGTGGTCTGCCTGTAAAATCTGCTGGCAGTCACCTCAAGTTGAGTAGACCCTTAGTTATGAGTTAGTTCTTGATATGCCAAGTATATCTCTTCGCATGGGTTTTATATATCACTTACAAAAAATATAATAGAGCTTTACAATTGGGGTAAAAAAGAATATGTACACAGAAAGCTGAAATCAAGTTGTTGTTGTATCTTTCTAGGGATCTCAGGGTGACCAGAAAGAAACAGAGTTGTTGCAATCTGTAGCAAAGGTACCAAAAAGATGCCTCCTTATTGAATACTTCCCATTCATGATTGAAAAGTTTACATTAACATTTACGTAGAAAGGTATTACAAAAGAAACAGTAGTGCCAGTGACACATTTCAGACTTCTGGGCCATCTTGTTGAACTATTGTTAGTGGGGAAAAAAAATAACTTTTTATTAAAAATAGGTTATATTTGGTTTTAGAAATGTAGCATTCGTATGTGTGCCTTTGAGGCTGAAACATCCTTGCTGTTTATGTTCATGAAATGCTGCCAGTTACGGATGATCCAATTAACATTATTTAAGTTAATCTTATTTGCAGTGGTAGGTAAAAATGCATTAGTAAACTAGTAACTCTAGAAAGGAAACATTAGAACCAGGAGTGAGGGAGGGGGAAAGAGAGACCAGTTAATTTGGAATTCATTCAGATTTTTATCAGGAACATAGTATGGTGGTGGTTGTTTTCACTTGCAGAGCTGTGTGTAAAACAAAGTCATGGAGATAATACATTTTTCTGGCCTCATCTGGGAGACTAGATGTCATAATGAGATATTGGGAAGGAGAAAAATGGTGAAAACAAATGGACATTTGAGTACAGTTTATTGATATATTTTTTTTAAATAGCAAATAAATATGAACTCATTAGGATACATATTATTTAAATACAAGCAAAAGTAATTAGTGAAGCAGAATGTCCCAAGAGACCAGTTTCTGTATATAAGTGCTTTGAATCTGACTGCATAAAAGAGAAATCTGTGCAACGTGGAAGTTATCAAATATCTCATGCATGTTGGAACTTCCTATTTTTATATTGATTGGTGCTACAGCACTGTTACTGGTGTGCAACATGTAAAAAGGCTTCAAATGTAGAAGTGCGGTATTTTTTGGTCTGTTTCAGTAATTATCACAAGCTTACTGAACCTTTTCTGTGGGCTAAATAAAAGGGGACTACAGTTCCTTAGAAAACAACATGAATACGGATATAGACAAAGATAAAATAATTCCCCTCTGGCCTTTATTAATTTGCTTCCATGTTCTTCACAGCATAGAAGTATATATAGAATATGAAGTTCAGATAGCTGTTTTCTTCTTCAGAGTTTTGTTTCTTTTGAAAAATTTTCCAGGATGTTGGTAATTTTCCTCTGGAGTTGCCTTACCTAGAGCCAGTCACTGCATGTACGGACATCTGGGATGAGAATTGGTTGCCTCTGCAAACCCCGAAGAAGCAGACTAACATGGGCCCCAATACAGTGGATACTGTGGTATCTTCTAACCAGATTCCCAGCAATCAAGAACAGGATCAGATCCAGGAAAGCAAAGAGCTGCTTACACAGGTTACTTTTTGGGGAGGGAGAGAGATGGAAAAATGCATGGTGGTGACACTTTCTCAATGGGTTCTAAAAATACCGTGCTCGAGGTACAGTTGCCTGTATGTGCTGATTCCATGGAGAAATCTGGGAAGAACCCTAAAGGTATTTAGTAGTAAGTGTTTCTCCATAAACTGGTTAGATGAATGACAAAGGCTGTGTAAATAATTTAAGTTAGTGATGGCTAATTTGGGCACTCCGGGGACCAGCAGAAAATTATGTCATGTTGTAAATTCCCTAGGGTTTTGTTCAGTCTAATTTCAAAGGCCTCATCACTTCTCTAAGGAGGTTATTCTGCAATCTAATACATCTCACTAATGAGAAGATTTTTCTTTAGTCAATTTATTCACATTATGCTTACCTTACCTATGCACTCATTTGAAACATCCCATATGCTTCCTTTTCTTTGTTGGTGCATCCGGTTGTTGGTGACAATTTAATTATAAAGCAGTTCAGAATACTTTACCTAAAAAAAAAAAAATTAGAGGTGTGCTGATACATCGGTCCGATATCGGATCGGCACTGATATAAAGAAAATTGAATGTATTGGAAATCGGCCTGATGTGGCTGATAACTTGTCCTATTAAATGCACGTGTGTGCGCACAGCTGCAGCACAGCATGTAGGCAGCAAGGAGTGCAGCCAGGCAGCTTGGAGTGCTGAGTGCAGTTGGTAAGTCTGGTGTGGTGTGGGGGGGGCAGATCAAAGCCCCTGCAGTGAGGGAGGAGTGGGTCTGGGGCAAGCGCTGTCCAGCTGGGGTGGGGTGTGGGGTGGCTTCTGCCTTTGCGTGCACCCTGTGAGGGGACTGGGGTGGAGGGGGCAGGCCTGTGCTCCCAGATCTGTGTGGGGTGTGGGCAGCAGCTGCAGGATGGGGCTGGGACTGTGCCAGGCTCTTCCTGGCGCTTGGAGGGGGGGAGGGTTGCGGGGTGGGTGGCAGTGCTGCTGGGAGGAGGGCTACAGGGAATTTTGGGGCCCTGCAGCCTCCCTGTAACTCTCTCTCCCAGCGCCACTGCCACCTGCCCCAAGCACAGCCTGGTGCAGCTGCAGCCCACCCCACCTGCCCCTGTGCAGATCTAGGGCATGTGCCCCCCACCATGCTCTCCTGGGGTGTGCACAGTGGCAGAAGTCGCCCTCCCCCCACACCTCCTGGATGAGCCGCGATTCCATCCTGCACCTGCCCTGGCTGGGCAGTGTTTATCCCAGCCCTACTCCCTCCCTCACCACAGGGGCCTTGATCTGCTCCCCCTCCCTTTCTACCACAACAGACTTACCAGTTGCATGCAGTTATCCGTGCTGTATCGTAAATTGGATTAGTATCAGCCGATATGCCTCCTTAGAAATTGGCTATTGGTATCAGCCCCCACAATCTATCGGCGTACCCCTAAAAAAACAAAACAAAACGTTCATCTAAGAAATGAAATTTCTTGTTTTCTATATGAGTGACTTATGTCTTATATGACTTTTATTTTCCTGGATACATTTTAAGGAAAGTAATTCCATTTTTGTTGAAAAGAATTAACAGATAGTATTCTTGGTTTTCCTGGGAGCAGAAGGACCGGCCAACATGTGATTTACTAGATTAGGACAATTTTATGCCCGTGTTTGTGAAACTTCAGAGTTGAGACCATAGCTAGTTTCCAGTTCAGAAGCCTAATTTATTTTCAGTGCCCCAACCAACATCCCCCACAAAACAGATTTTCTGGGCCCCCTCTCATGCTTAGCATGTGAAAGGCTTTTAAAGAAATCAGCAGAAGAGTTTTATGGCAGTCTCAGTTTTCTCTGTTTCAGTCCTGAAAAAGTGGTGATGTGGGTAAGTCTGGATGAGAGGGTGGGTAGGAACTACCCTGGGGCACTGAAACACAAAAGTATCTTGGGCCTGTGGGGGAATAGGGATAGGCAGATCTGGAGTGGGCAAAGGGAAGGCATTCTATTAATACAGAAACAAAAAAGCTTAATATTATGTTACAATACATGTGTAGGATTTTAAGGGAGTTTTTCCCAAGAACAAGTCTCCCTCTCCCTTTCCCTTTCATTCCTCTCCACCATCAGTGACCCTCTTCCTCCTCCCTCTCACTCCCCAACATCTTACCTATGTACTGTTGCCCCCAGGCTTCCTTTTACCAGAGACTTCCAAGTATTGACATGGCCCCTTGTCCGATTTAGTATCAAGTGAACTTTATTAGTAAACCCTAGGCTTATTACAAGCTTATTATCCTTTAGCAAGCAGTTCCTTTAGGTGTTACAACAGCATCTTTGGTGGTACTGGCCTCCCATCCTCTGCTGGGTGTGTGGGATGTTAGTTTCTAGATTCCTTGTTACTCAAAGCAATAATTCAAAGGTTGCTTCTGTCTCCCCAGAATGGCAACATAGAGCACACACTGTCTCTTTGTTTGTCCGCTACTTTCTCATCTCAAACTTTCCAATCCTCAAATTTCTTACCTCATCTTTTTAGATAAGGTACTCCAATACTATTCTGTTTTTGGTTTCCTTTTCTTTTAGGGAAACTACTGTACCTGGTTAGCCCACCATACCAATCGTAGCTCTCACTTTTCCCAGTGCCTTATAAGGCACTCTGTACAATTTAATTGCTTAGTTCCAGGAAGGCCAAAAGTTATGCTAAGAGCCTGAGCATAACTCAGTTTGCCTGTTACATGTACAGTTTTCCTAAAGCATGTCCCATACACATTTTGCACCCACCTGCTGGAGTCTGCAGGAGATGATGTCCCACTTCGACCTTCTAAGATCTGAGAAGTGGCAGCTTTCCAGAACCTGTTTTTAACTTGTTTTGCTTGGTTATAAATTTTTGTTTGATGTTTAGGCAAGGGAGGGGTTTAGGTTCCTTCTGTTAAGGAACCTAACAGATTGTGCCCCTTCAGTGAGACGCTATGCCTTAAAGCTAACCTGGGTGTAGACATATAGTCTTAATTTAACTGGCATGGCTACCAGAAGTAGTGAAGCTGCGGCAGCCTAGACATCAGCCTAGACTATACAAACCTGCCTGAGGATCCTGGGCAATTATTAGGATAGCTAGTGCATGTTGAAGTCTGTGCCAGTGTATCTTCACTGTTGCTGTCTATCCTACCTCAATTAACATCAGTGTTGGTATGCCTGCCTGTGCTATAATCACAGTTCTGGTGTCAATGTACAGATGTAGCCGTAGTTGCAGTTTCTCTTCCTTCCACACAAACTATATGGGGACTCTTCTTAGCTTATCTGCCCTCTTAAGAATGGTACTTTTCTGCCTGTGAAGAGACGTTGGATAATATGTAATCACTTTTGGATCGTGCAAATACCACAGTAGTTCAAAAATCGGAATCCTCAGTGCAGAAGACTGTGAAAAAAATCCTGGAACCCATTGCAGGGTTGAAGGTAAATGCCTGCTGTCTGGCTTATTGTGCTGGGATGTTTTCATTTTTATATTTATTTCAATGTTCCTAAAAACGTATTTTATGGTTTTTAGGCTCTGTAAAATCTTGGTTTTTGTTAAACTGGAATATTTGGCCAAATTAGACACAACAATATTGACGTCCAACTGCAGACCTATCTAGGTTCTTATTTTGGTGCTTGTCATCACTGAATACCTTTTGAAGTTCAGTCTGTTATACGCGGGCACATCCATGCAGCAAAATAAAGATGGAAGCATAACACAAGCTAGCATATCTCTGCTAGCTAAATCTAAATTTCCTTGAGTACTGATACTAGACTTTAACCAGTATGGGCTTTAACGCATGCTAACAGCCAGCGAACTTAACCAAGACCCCTGGTGAGTTTGTATGCTAGTTATCAGTTTGCATTAAAGCCAGCATTATCATGTTTTCACGGCTGTTGTTACCCTTGCTACTTAGAGTATGCTCACTTGTGCTATACCCACACCTTCAATTTGCAGTGCAGGCATAATTCAAAGTAGAGAGAGACAGAATGTTAATGTTTTACCTTAATCCAAGATGTTTGTGTTGGACCTCCATCTTGCTGATGCTTTGGTATGGTTGGCAGTCTTTGCTAATAGAAGGTCTAGTGTGGGATCTTGTAAGTCAGGGATAAGTGGTTGCACATAAGAATGGATGGACTGACAGAACTCTGTAGGGAAGTGTATGCATTGGATTGCCAGTCAATAATGGTGATCCCATTACCCTAACAAAGGGTGGGTAATCAAGGGAAACCCCCCAAAAGTAATTCTGTTGTACATGCAGGTATGTGTCCAGACTCAGCAGTTCAGTATTAATGTGTTGATTGGGTCTGGTTGTGAAGAATGCTTGTCAGTGTCCAGAGAACTAGTCTGTTTATCAGTGCTGCCCTTGCATGAGTTCTGTGATTAGCTCTGTTGCAGATGGGCACCCTGACAAGTCTGCTTCATGCAGTGTCACACCATGGGCCTGATCTTGCATTGTAGGATTATAGTAAGGTAGGTCTGAAAGGGATATCATGTGATCATTTAGTACATCCACCTGCTCAAGGCAGAATCATCCCTAACTAAACCATCCTGGCCAAGTGTCCATTTAACATGGTCTTGAAAACTTCCATGGTTGGAGATGCCACAATGTCTTTAGGTAACTTATTCCAAATAGGGTCATAGAAATGAATTTAACAGCTGGTTGCTAGAGAGGGAGAATTCTCTATATTAACAACCGGTGTCTGTGGCTCAGGGGGTAGAAGCCCTTAAATTTTAGTGTGATCTTCCATCTTATTGCTGAATAAATTTGAGGCTTGAGGCTAGGAGTCGTAATTGTCATCCACAGTCCCTGAATTTGAGGATGGTCTTTACCACAGCTCATTAATGGGTCTTGAGATTACTTAAGAGTCCAGTTCTTGAGAGACAGATCCATCTGCAGAAGTTGCAGAACTTTCTGCAGGGGAGAGTAGGCTTCAGGCTGGGTTTCCGCTGCGCTCTTCTCTGCTTTGAGGGGAAGATGCTTTACCTTGAAACAGGCTGTCATTTGCTTGAGGTTTTAGCACCATTGAAGTCAGTCA